CTAAGTAATTTGGATTTAAATGATCGCTACCCAAAACAAACTAGTGGCTAGTCATTAATAAGGGGCATGTCTAATAATGATAGTAGAGATATCAAAAAAGGGTGAGGTTCGATTTGAAAAGGATAGTTCTAGTGTTCATGTGGGTTTCCTCCGGGTGCTACAGTTTCCCCCACAGTCCAAAGACATGCGCTATAGGTGAATTGAACAAAATAAATTGGCTGTAGTGTATATGTGGGTGTGAATGCAAGAGTGTATGGGTGTTTCCCAGTACTGGGTTGTGGCTGGAAAGGCATCCGCTGCGTAAAACTTATGCTGAATAAGTTGGTGGTTCATTCTACTGTGGCGACCTCTGATTAATAAAGAGACTAAGCCGAAAAGAAAATGAATGAATGAATGTAAATGTTTCAAACCTGTTTGAGTTTCCTTCTTCTGTTGAACACAACAGAAGATATTGTGAAGAAAGCTGGAAACCTGTAACTATTGGTTTTACTGCGGAAGTCAAAGGTTACAGGTTTTCAGATTTCTTCAAAATATCTTAATTTGTGTTTAAAATAATAAAGAAAACCAGAAATGTTTGGAAGCACATCAGGGTGAGTAAACATATTGAAATATTTAACTGAAAAGTTTAATCATACAGTTGAAATCATGTTTATAGTAAAGGGAGGGGTTGTCGAAATTACACTGCAGAAATCCATAAACTAACATGTATACATATATATATATATATATATATATATATATATATATATATATATATATATATATATATATATATATATATATATATATATATATATATATTTTGTGCTTTTGAATTTCATTATGGGACTTTTATTTGTTTATATATATATATATATATATATATATATATATATATATATATTTTGTGCTTTTGAATTTCATTATGGGACTTTTATTTGTTTATATATATATATATATATATATATATATATATATATATATATATATATATATATATATATATATACACTGTAAAAAAAAAACTAATTTTACAGAAAATATCCTTAAATTTTTTACAGTAATTTTTTGTCATTTCACATTATATTCAAAACTTAGTAAAATGACAACCAATCTCTCTAAATTAACCGTTTGACTTTCATTTTAGGTACTTTATTATTAAAGACAAATTACTGACATTTGTGTTTTTTATACAGGGAAATTACAGTATTATTTATACAGTATTTTTTCTGTTATTTTAAATTATATTCAAAAGTTCGTAAAAATTACAAACAATATCTGTAAATTAATGGCTTGAATGTTATTTTATGTACTATATAAGTAATGACAAGTTACAGCAATTTGTCTGTTTTTTACGTATGACGTATTATTTACAGTGTTTTTTCCTGTTTTTTAAGTACATTTAAAATTACGTAAAATTAAAGTAATAAATTGTAATTACTTGCTCTGTAAAAAATAAAAATAAATCGTAAAAAAAGGTCAAATGACTGGCAGCTACGGCTGCCAAACAAAAACCATAAAATTAAGGTAAAATTTCTTTGTTGAAAAAAAGTGCAAAAAATAATAAATCTACAGATATTTTCATTAAAATGTTTACAGAGAAACACTGTTATTTTACAGACTTTTCCTAGATTATTACTATCAAATCCATTTAATAAAGTAACACGCTAAGAGTGCTCACATACACCTGTTCCAGATTCTGCTGATTGCACACACACAGTCGGAGGACTGTTATGAACTGATTACATGCACTTTAAAAGCAGCACAGACGCACACACCAATTGCTTAGTCTTGTTATACTGCTACTGTGAACATTATGACGCGTTTCTCTTCTTTTGCCTTGCTTTGTTTGTTAATTGTTTAAGTTGTTTGCTGCCAGGACTGATCATTTGCTTGTTAATTGACCATGACTCTGGATTTTGCCCCTGTGTTGACTTGCTTGCCTGATCATCTCTGTGTAATAAACCTGCATTTGAATCTGCACTTCTTTGTCAGCGTCCCCTCCACATTACAGTTCCATTTCATTTAAGATTTGGAACTGAATCATTTCATACAACTCAAACCTCTACATGTTTTAAAGTAATACTATTCAATAAAATGTAATGTTATAGTTGTGAGAATTTTAATCAGTTGTATCTCGTTTGATGTTTTTTCCAAACTTTTTTGATCCAAAATAAAACTGTTAAATTACGACCAAGAGCATGTCTTGGCATTTTATTAAAGGCGTTTAATTGTAAAAAAAAAAAATTAAATAACATTGTTTTTTCTTGAACTTTTAGTGCAGTCACTTTATTGATGGTGTTCGATCATAATAATCTAGGAAAAGTCTGTAAAATAACAGTGTTTCTCTGTAAAACTCTTATTGTGTTACTTTATTAAATGGATTTGATCGTAATAATCTAGGAAAAGTCTGTAAAATAACAGTTTTTCTGTAAATATTTTAATGAAAATATCTGTAGATTTATTATTTTTTGCACTTTATTTAAACAAAGAAATTTTACCGTAATTTTATGGTTTTTGTTTGGCAGCCGTAGCTGCCAGTCATTTGACCTTTTTTTTACGATTTTTTTTTTACAGTGTAAGGTAAAAATGTTGTTTATTTATTTCTTATAAAGAAATTTAGGAAAATAACAACAACAAGTCCTAAATAACAGATGACCACAGTTAGTTTGCTAAATAAACATAAAAACAGTTTTCGTGACGCATTTTTTTTTTGCGTTTTGTGACAAATCAGGACACAAGTCTTTATAATGGCATGACATATTACAAGAAGGTGTTGAATTCAGAGGACATCATGCTGATTATGATGATGTCCTCATTTATCAAAAAGCTTATTAATTATGAAGAATGAGTTTTCAGAAAGTAAAACTGTACACGGTTTTCTTTGAGAGTTAGAATCAGGGATATGGGGTTAGGGCAATAGAACAGTGTAACAGTATAAAAACAACACATATGTAATATTCCCACAATTCACAAAAACAAACTTGTTTATAATAGATAACCTATTTTATAATGAGGAGATCTGGTGAACATGTCCAGCCTTTCCAGTGTTTTATGATAGCAGACACTCTTCTGTTAATCCAGACAGTGCGGAAACTCTTGGTAACCTGAAAGAGGCATTAAGTACACATGTTGCATGTGTTGTGGGCAGAGCTCATGCATGATTCATTCTTTCCCTTGGTTTTACAAGCTCTGGAAAGGCAAGTATGCAGGAACCACCCAAGTTCAAGCTGCGCTGTTTTATACGTAACTGTTTTCTTAAAAGGAAGCTTGATTCAGTCATCTCCTTTTTGAAATGGTGGTGGTTTTGGGGGGTTTGCAGAGACATGGAAAACATCTGGAGTAAATAATGAACCCATGATCCAACAACACCCGACACTAACACAATGCAATTACATTTACAATAGAGACGGTTCACTTGATAGATTATCTGAGTTTCTCCCGCTGCTCTTTTGGTATGAAAATGGCTAAACCCCCCCTCAGCAACAGTCTGTTATATTATGCCTTCAGTATCCAACAGACCTGGGCCAGAGCCAGAGACAGGTGGTCGGCGAGGAGGGAGTGAAGGCAGTCAGGCATTGAGACGCTGCTAAGAGCTTCAGTAGGCCTTGATGAACAAGATAGGCTCTGCGCCACACCGTCAGTAATGTTGATGGCTTTGTTGCTAACTTTTTGCCATAAAATTAAACTTCTTTTTAAACTGTTTTGGTTTATATTGCTTAAAGATATCTGCAGATTTAGCCCATCATTGAGTCCATTTATTGACTTATGTGATGCAATTATATATTTATTATTCATTCATTCATTTTCCTTCGGCTTGGTCTCTATTTCAGAGGTCACCACAGCTAAATAAACCGCCTATATTTATTCATTTTTTTAAAATAATGATTTAAGTAATATTATTAAACAACATGTAAATGTTTATGTGATTTATATATTCTGGGTTTTAGTGTATGTATTGTATGAGAGACTTTGTTACCAAACAAGTAGTTCTAATTGGATTTGCATTGTAAACCTTAAATACATACCCAATTTAGACAAAATAGCAATAACATTTAATAATGTTTTATTACGCAATTAACGCTTTGTTAAATGTGATAATAAATATCAACACATAAATAAATTGCCTATGTGATTGCTTGTTGCTGCCAAAGGTGTAGTGTAAATATAGTAAAAATCATGAGACTTCCTCCAAATTTGGGTTTAGAATTTGTAGTTGTGTTTGTGTAAAATTGACTGGGCAAAGTGGGCATTTCTTTAAATTTCCACATAAAAATAGCATTTTAGTCAAACTTTTTCACTTGTTGTGACTGACAATTAGTTATAACACCAAAAATGTATTTCTTAACTATACTGATGTATACAGTTAAGTTGTGCAACTTTCCCTACACATGAACCATATTCTGACAAAAAATATGACTGAAAAGTGGAGCCCAGCCCAGCTTTAAAGATTTAAGTTTTTGCACCTGTATGAAGATGCATTATAAATATTTGCCCTACACTATTCGATTTAAAATCAAGTTTTGTTTCATGTCATTGAAAAAAAATCCTTACATTTAACCAACACATTAATACCCTAATTTTGCCCCCCTACGTGTGGAATTCACAGCCACTCAGGTGATTCCCTATTTCAGTTCCAAGTTACATGGCATTTATGACCGGGCAAATTCTACAGTGTGTGACCAGGGAGTGACGCATTGCAGGTACAAACGAACCAATCAGAATCATCCGCACAACCGAGCAGCGTACAGTCTTCTTCCGCCGTCAGCTAATCCCTCCTGTACTTTTGCGCAAAGGTCTGCAGATAGCAGCATATAAGACAGTATAATTTCTGAAAAATGACATATATAACGTCCAATAAAGCTTACATCAGTTTTCATGGGCAAATATTGAGACATTCAAGACGCTTCCCTTGTCAGAATGCAGTGCGGTTAGCGGATGGATACAGGAAGATGGGAGGTGTTTATGTACGACCGTTAAGGCGGGTCTATACCAATATTCCAACCACCATTTGTGAATCTGTAACGGAGAAGGAGGGAGACAGACGGAGATCAAGCAAAAATGGTGAGTGTGCTCCTATGTTACTGGTAAATGATGTATATGTGTTAATGAGAAGATTTGCAGTTTTAACGCACATTCCAGAGGAAGCAAGGACGACAAAAATAGAAACAGACGTATTTAAGTAAGTTAGCTTATAGAAATGTGCCGCCAATTTTACGACTCCAGTGGATGGACTGAATGAAGGAATACACGCGCCCCGTCGAATCAACTATTTCCTCAGGGTTTCCCGGTCATTTTACACTACAGGGGTGTAAATTGCGGCTAAACCCAGGAAATTCTGCACAAACGTGAAGGAAGTAACATTATTAACTTTACGTACTTCGTTAAACTTAAAGGCGCAGAATCGACTCGCTTTCAGTTTTTCTAAGGAGAATGTGGTTACTACTAAACTTAGCAGTGAAATTCAATAAGTCATAACGTTATATCCTATTACGTTACAGAAGTTTTGTTTCTCAACGCCCTGGGTTTGGTCGAAAAGTATCCTGTGTGTCTTCGTGTTACTTTGACTGGGCAGCATCTCATGCGAGAAACTACGTGGAAGTTGAATCTAAAGGCTTTTTTAAAATACGGTTTATGAATAAACCATCTGTTTTGCTCGTAATGCAATAACGTTATTCTTGTATGTTTATATGCACGTTATAACGCAGTCATCAGGTTTACTCATAGAATACCCCGTCGATACTTTTACTGGGTTACTCGAGAATTATGTCACCTACTACACACAAATACAAAGGTTGAATCGCTATCTGAAATGACAGTATAGTGCTACGAGGGAGTAGTTCACCAAATACCGGGAAGCAGGTGGGTGGATGAACCGCTGTTGTTAGGAGTGTCTAAATACTGTCACTATGGTGGAACTTTATTCTCTCAGGCTGGTGTCGTAACATTTGGAGGGAGGGAATCTGAGGTCTTTGTTTGGTCTTGTACGGGTTGCTAGATATTGATGTCATTGCTCTAAAACGCATTGCATTCTTGGTATATTCTCAACGTGATTCAGTAATGGCTGTTTGTCTTTTTTTTACCATCCCCAGGCCGATCAACTCACAGAAGAGCAAATAGCTGGTAAGATCCCTTACTTGCTTGGGTTAACGTTATACGCCTCATTCAGAATTTCTACATGAAGCTTATGGTGTTTTGCAATAGCCTGGCTGTTCTGGTTTGTTAGAATTGCTAATTTGTTGCCGTTTGAAGGGGTGGGGCAGTTAAATATGTGTGCATGTATGGGGCATTACTAGGGCCAGACAGAATCTGCGGGCATATTTAATATTTTTGCGCACACTTTTGCAAAATAAATCTGCAGATTTATGCAGCATGAATTTGGGAATATCATAACCTAAAACTTAATATATGAAATATATTAAAAATGTAACTTTTATTCAACGCTTACAATGCAAATCCAATAAGATCCACTTATTTAGTAAACAAAGAAAGTCTCTTAAAAATATATCTACTAAAATACAGAAAATATTACATCACCTACTGTATTGTAACATGAACATTTCCATATTAGTCAATAATATTACTGAAATTATTTGAAAAATGAAATAAATTAAATAAACACATTTACACAAGTAACTAAATAAACTCAATGATGGACTAGAATTTGCAGATTTCTGTGCAAGCAGATTTCGTGTGGGCCTAGTTATTATCTCTTTGAATGTGCAGGCTCATAACCTAATAACAAATGTAGATTAGCTTAACTATAATTGAAGTATTGTTTTTACAATATGTATTTTTTTGTTTTGTTTTTGTACACACTTATTTATTTTAACATGATTAAAAATGTATATTTTACATAGAGTTCACCAGAAGTTTTTTTCCATCGGAATTTTTAAAAAGTTCATTTAAGTGTTATAAGCCATAAACAACAAGGACAGGTGAATAGGAGCATCGCAAATAATCCTAATGAATTTAAAAACAATAGGGAAATATAAAAGTAATTCAATTAAAAGTTGTTTCTTGCATCTATACAGAGTTTTATGTGCAAAATATATTTTTAGAGTTTACTAAAACTTCTTCACAGAAGTAGGCGGAGCTACATTTTTTTAAAGGTTTTTTTCCAGTGCACCATCCTGATTGGTGGAATGTTCTGTACAGCATCATGGCTTACTGTAGTTTTGTATCCCAGATTTTGCTGTCCAACAAGATTATTTATAAATATGTTGAATTGATTTAATACAACTGATTAACAACCTCGGAGCTCACAACAATTTGTTTAAGGTTTATGAAAGCTATATCCGTATGGAGAATAATAGTAGAGCTTTTACTTCCAGAACCTGTCTGCTGCTCCATTGGGATAGGAACATTTTTATATATATCTTGCTTAGTAAATAACACATTTAATGCATTCATAATTGATAGGATATTGAATCTTCTTTAGATTTGTATTATTTTTCTTTGCAAAATGGTCCCATGTTTTGTGTAATGGAAAACTGCAGGTTGTGCGTCTGATGTCGCTGCTTGATGGTCAATGTTGGCACAGGGGAGATTTCATTGCCCTTTAGTGTTCAGACCACTGGGCAATTGCATGCTGCTGAAATGCAGTCTCACTTGTCACTATAGTTTTGTCCCAACTATGCCTAGAAGGATCAATTCTCCTCATTTAAACCGATCAGTGACAGTGCTGACTCTGGCTGGAACATCTTATAAAATGATATCTTCTGAAACGGAATCTAGATGCTACTTGAGGCGTCTATGCAAAGCGATTTTGTTTGCATGTTGCTCAGCGGATCTGGTTTAGCTTCAAGGCCTTAACACTAGTACTAGTGGTCAGTTGTTGCCATGTCTCTAGGGAATTTGTGTTCATCTGTCATCCTAGACATTTATCTAAGAAGGCGTTTGTGGTTACTAGTCTTAGTACATACTATTTGTTTTGAGAACTCATTTGAAAATTTGTAATGTGTAGTACATAGTATAGGATCTACAAAATGTCTTAAACCACGTGGAATCACATTGCAAACAAATAATGACTAATTCAAAAAGCCTGAGGTGGAGTAGAAGTTCATTTTGTTTATTGCTCGAAGGGACATATGAATGCTATGAGAAATATGCTTATGTGACTCAAACCCTGATTTTTCTCTACACAGAGTTCAAAGAGGCGTTTTCGCTATTTGACAAAGATGGAGATGGGACAATCACCACGAAAGAACTGGGCACTGTCATGCGCTCCCTGGGCCAGAACCCTACAGAAGCGGAGCTGCAGGATATGATTAATGAGGTGGACGCAGACGGTGAGGACACAGTTTTACTGCTACATTAGCCATCAGCAGTTAAAGGGACAGTCCAGCCATAAAATGAACATTTGCTCTGACTCAAATGGTTTTAAATAATTATGATTTTTTTTCTGTTGAACAAAAAACAAGATATTCTGGAGAATATTGGAAAAAGCAGGCATTGGTATTCATAGTAGAAAGAAAAAATATAATGCAGGTCAATGGGTGTTTTATCCCCAACATTCTTCAGAACATCTTCCTTTGGGTTCAACAGATCAAGTAAATGATGACATAATTTTGCCGTCTTTTAATATCTTTAAATCTATATTACTCAAAGTTTTTTGTTTGAAGGATTATATCACATAAATTGTTGTGCCACTTATCTGACTGTGTACTTTGCTCTTTAATTAGGGAATGGAACAATAGATTTTCCCGAGTTCTTGACGATGATGGCAAGAAAAATGAAAGATACCGACAGTGAGGAGGAAATCAGAGAAGCTTTCCGTGTCTTTGATAAGGTAATGCTTCTGAAGAAACACTGAACTATCAAGTCTTTGCTGGTAACATTCTTCAACATGAAATAACTGATTTGCTCCCCTTTGCTTGTCAGGACGGCAATGGCTACATTAGTGCGGCTGAACTGCGTCATGTAATGACAAACTTGGGGGAGAAATTAACAGACGAGGAGGTGGACGAAATGATTAGGGAAGCAGACATTGATGGAGACGGTCAGGTCAATTATGAAGGTGAGTGCAGTGCTGCAATTCACATAGCATGTGTCGGTTTAAGACTCAAAGTGGTGTTTATTTAATATCCTGTTTCTCTTTACCCACAGAATTTGTACAGATGATGACAGCAAAGTGAAAGCCTTGTACAGAATTTCTTGTATAAAATAATTTGCCTTTTCTTGTTTTTAATTTCTGTAAAATGTTTCATTTTAATTTCCCCCCTCATCCTCTCCTGCTGTCCAAAGGATCTGCATGTATACTATAAGATTTGAGTGCTCATGCCTTCCCCCAACTCTTAACCATTGTAAACGGTCTATTCGAAGGAGCAATTCTGGGACCAGGTGATAACATTTAGGCACAGATAGATACTGACTACGCACAGACATCTTCTTCCCCTTCTGTTGCTCTGTCTGCCTGCCCACCTGACGATCGATGACATCAAGGGTCCAGCTGACTGACAGTGTGGCGTCATTTCAACAGTTTTGGCATGATTCTTTTTTCCACTCTTTTGGTTTTATGTGGAGGTGCAACTCTGCATGGACAATGGACTGAGTTGAAAAAGAAATGGGAAACGTCCTCAGCATTGCACTATTGCAACATCATTCAACTAACGGGTTTATCGCCAGATATATTCATTCACTCTAATCTTTTTGTATTTGTTCTGTTCTTACTATGCTTTTTAATTAGTCACTTTTCTTTTGTAACTGCTTAAGGCACAGCCATGCCTCAGAATCCATTCCAAGTTGTATATTTGTTTTCCAATAAAATTAACAATTTACCCAATAACTGCTTCCCCTGCCTTTATTCCACCTAAAATAGAGAGATCATGTAGACATCTACAACTGTTACTCTGATTGGATCCATTTACCTTGATTATTTCAGTGTATTGACTTAATTAGACACTGATTTGATTAGTCAAGATGTTTTGTCTAATATTGAGCTTACATACAACTTTATAATGGAAAACCTGTGCAATTTCTGTTTGGATGTGTGTTAGTTTGACCATCGCTCTGCTTCAAACTAGGTATGTGTAAAATATTCACACTCATGTCCTCTGAAGTGACATTTTATAATGATGGGCCTATAGAAAGCTACTTTTACAAGACATTTACACAACAATATACCTAAAACTCGCCGATTCGAGCATCGGCTGGGTCAGTTGGCATTTTTGTGTGGAGTTTGCATGTTCTGCCTGTGTTCATGTGGGTTTCCTCCAGGTGCTTAATTTTCCCCCACAACTCCCGATACGTGCTATAGGTGAACTGAGTAAGCTAAACTGGCCGCAATGATTCGTAGAGAGTGTATGGGTTTTTCCCAGTGATGGGTTGCAGCTAGAAGTGCTCACGCTGTGTTAAACACGCTGGAAAAGTTGGCGGTTCATTCCTCTGTGGTGACCCCTGATTATTAAGGGGACCTAGTGGAAAAGAAAACAAATGAGTTCATATTCCTGTTGCTATAATGTCAAAACAATACGTGCAAATGACTACAAGCACTGTTGTTTTTTCATGCCAGGCCAGTACTGTAACTTGTAAAGAGCACTAAATCGTCTATGTACAAACACACGCGTGTCTGTAAAGTCAGCTTCCCAGCCCTGATCTTAGAGGCACACCAACACCACACATTGCCAAACATTCATCATTAATTTTCCTTCAGCTTAATCCCTTTATTCATTTTGGATAACACAGCGGAATGAACCGCCAACTTATCTAGCATATGTTTTACACAGCAGATGCACTTCCAGCTGCAACCCAGTACTGGGAAACACCCATATACATTAATTCACACGTACATTATGGCCAATTTAGTTTATTCAATTCACTTATACCACATCTCATTGGATTGTGGGGGAAATGAGAGCACCCGAGGAAACCCACACCAACACGGGGAAACCATGCAAACTCAACACAGAAACGCCAACTGACCCAGCTGGGACTCGAACCAGCAATCTTGCTGTGAGGCTACAGTGCTTACCACTGTGTCGTCGCCTTACTGTCAAACAATTCTCATTCAATTCATCGGCTCTTTAAAGGACTCTGAGACCTGAAATGATTGGGTCACATCAGAACGACATCCCAAATGTATACTCTTGGTGTACTTCTAGGAACAGACTTAGGAAACACTACATTAAGGGATGCTTGTGATTCACACTTTAAGACCACAGTGGGGTCGAGTTCATAGCGTTCTTCTCGACAGTCAAAACAACATTACGTCATAGAAGTGTAGGCCCAGACCCAAATGGCTCTAAACATTGTGGTTTTCTTCTCAGTCCATACTTTTAATGCTGTAATGTCATTTGGTCTGTCGGCTAAATGTCTGCTCAGAGTTAATAATTGAGGCCTCTACATAACAGTGGGTGCATAGTTGCTGCAAAGATACTCACAAATATCCTTCTTACATCTAAAATTATGAATGGGACTCCAAGGGCTAGACACCCAGTTCCAGTAGGGGTTTCTACTATGCACAGATTTCTACACGGTAGGCCCTTCTGTTAAAATCACATTGAGTTAATGGTTTCAGTCATTTACAGGCCTTATTTACAATGCATTTCAGAAGGAAAACGATCAACATCCACACTATCGATTCATCTAGCAATTCTAAAAACGTCTTGTTCACACTATACCACTGAAAAACTACATCACATAACCATATATACACTCTGGGCATAAAAGTATGTGCTTCACTTGGAATTGGATTACTAGTCAACACTGAACGCGATGGTGAACAACAATGCAAGCAAAGCTTACATTTCAGTCTCCATGTTATTGTCTACAGGTTGTCAGGACTGGTTTGTCATCTTCTGGTAGCTTTATGGTCATGTGATAGGGGCTTAAAAAAAAGGGAAACATACACAATGACCCAAAAGACAAAATCAGTGAGCTAATGTTGGCAGCCATGGCTTCGTTTTCAGTTGTCTTCATTTGCTCTATCCACACTGACACAGAGCACTAGTGTTTCCACATGAAAGCGGCATCTGCAGCATTTTCAAGTCTCAAGTCTAAACTCTGACATAGTGTAAACTAAAACTAATGCAGAAGTGTAAAGGGCCTTAAGTAAGAACCGCATTCTGGGGTGGGTGTTGACAAGCAAGGGCCTATTCCCTGCCAGCCTTTTCCTTCCACTTACGATAGCCCTGGCAACATCCAGTTTAATAGACTTAACTTGCCATTTGAAAATAAATCTTGGAGCATAAGGCTTTAGAGTGCCATTTGGAATTATTTTATTGTTTTGGTTGTCAAGTACTTGCATATACCTTTATGGGACCCACAGGGGTAGTTTTTTTGTGGGATACTTCAAGCCTTAAGCCTGGATTATACTTCTGCGTCAAGTGACCGGCGTAACCCACGGCGCATGCAACGCCCGTAGCTGTGCATTTATACTTCTGTGCGCTTTCTCTGTTGGTCTGCATTAACACTTCCGAAACCCTAGTTGGCAGTGAGGTGTTAATGTTCCTCTGTGTCGAGATTCTTCGCTGCTGTTTTGCTTTTCCTGAAAACTTCCGGGATGTACAAGTGGCTCAAACTCGCTCATTTTGAGGCAGGAACTGGCGGACGTGCAACAACTTTAACTATAAGGTAAACACAAATCAAAACTTTCCATCTGGAGCTCCTTCACGGGACTCCACACTTGTAAACAATCGCTCAATCAGCCTCGCACCATTCACGCGGCTCTCGGTCCCGCCCAGACTCATCAGCGCTACCAAGCCGACCAATCACAGAGCTTGCGCTACGTGTTGTTGCGACGTGTAGTTACATTTTTTGAGAGGTGCACGTCAGTGACGCCGACGACCAGGCGTTTGAAGCAGAAGTATAAATCAGCCTTAAGGGCCTATGCACCCCCTTCCCCTCCTCACTTTCAGTGCTCTTAGGGAAACACAAAATTTTACTGGACATAACAGAAGCACAACATGATTTTGCCAGGTACGATGTGATCCTGGCTTAACATCCATGCTGATCCTTTTTGTCTGAAAATGTAATCCATACCTATTCCCTTCCTCTAAACCCAACCATATTTGTAAATTATTCCCAAAATCAGAGGGGAACAATAGTTGGATAACAATCATGTAGAAGTGCATAAAACTGTAAACCTAAACTTAACATAAACGGTCAACGTATTCCTTCATTGTGATTGGCTGATTGTAATGTTATTTCAGGATCAACACAGATGTTGAACATGTCCTACTTGTTGAAATCAGGTTAGGGCATAACATACATGCCTACACAGCAACAATAGAAAGTTAGCAAGTACACAGAGGTGTGCCACTTAGCATTGAGTCTCGGAGCAAGCCCACAAGGCTCTAGTGTGCTATCTGAAATCTGGCATATCAAAAACGGGCACAAGCCTATATCCTAAACATTTAAGTTCATTGCACACAAAGTCTGAAAATTTTGCAATTTGCTGCAATTTGCGAAAACACATGCAATTCCAAAAAAAAACACACCAGCAAATTAATAAAATATCATCATCTGTTTGACAGCACACATGCTGAAAATCCTCACAACACATACACATTTAAAAAATGCGCTACATTTTCTCAGAACGCAAACACAAAATGAACGGAACACAACAGAAATGTTTCAAAGGGACCCTAAAACTGACCGATGCTGCTGTGCCATGACCATTGCTCAGTGAAGTTGTAGGTGACCTTTGAAAGTGTTTTTGTTTAATTTGTTTAATATCGATTAATGAGTCTTTAGTATTCATTAGCCTAAATAACCATAACTTAAATAGCAGAGTCCATCACGTTTTAGGGTCCCCTTGAAACATTTCCACTTTGCTGTGAAAAAATTGCAGCGACTTTTTCATAAAATGTTTGCTTTGTAAGATAATGCTGAAATATTGTTTTATTAAATTGTTTGTGTTGTGAGGAAATGCAGCACATTTTATTATAGTTTGCGCTATGAGAAAATGCAGCACGTTTTATTAATTTGTTTGCCTTGTGTGAAAATGAAGTGCATTTTATTATTGTTTGCACTGTGAGAAAATGCAGCCCGTTTAATATTGTTTGTGTTGTATGAAAATGTTTTATACATTTTTAGCGTTGTGTGAAAATTCAGTGCGTTTTATTAATTTGTTTGCGTTGTGTGAAATTGCAGTGCGTTTTAATAAGTGTTTGTTTGGTGTGAAAATGCAACGCGTTTTATCAATTGTTTGCATTGTGAGAAAATGCAGCGCGTTTTATTAATTGTTTGCATTGTGGGAAAACAATTTTTTTCCCATTTGGGTATAAATACGAAAAAAAAAATGCATGTGAAGATTTCGAACTTCAGTGAGCAAAGACTGTGTAGTACATGATTCATTCATTCATTTTCTTTTCGGCTTAATCCCTTTATTAATCCAGGGTCACCACAGCGTAATAAACAACCAACTTATCCAGCACGTTTCACGCAGCGGATGCCTTCCTAGCTGCAACCCATCTCTGGGAAACATCCTTACACACACATTCACACTCATACACTATGAAAAATTTAACCTATCCCATTGACCTGTGTCTTTGGAAATCCATGCAACACGAGGAGAACATGCAAACTCCACACAGAAACGACAACTGACCCAGCTGAGGCTCGAATCAGCGACATTCTTGTTGTGAGGTGACAGCACTATCTACTGCGCCACTGCGTTGCCCCTGTATGCACATGATGTCACGAATAAAAAGAAATCTTATTTTAAAGATTAGGCTCTTATTTTCACAAGTAAGCATTTCAATGTCCCCAAAACAGCATTGCCAAAATGCATAAAAGCAATTCATCTTCAGTTAAAAACGAGTTGAGTAAACGCCCCCTCAA